TGGTCTTTCTGTTCGAAGACTAATCAACAAACTCACACGACTTTCAGTGACAGAAGGCAGATACACAAACCACTGTATATTCAATGTTATAGAAACCAAATCATTCCCAAATACTTAAGTCTACGTGCACCAATTCTAACAGAAAAAGTCGAAGTAGCTATAGAGCAGGTTAGTAAACTCTTTCTTAAAGAAGAAATTCATGGAATAGCCAAAAACTGGTACATCAGGAATCCTATCGAAGAACTTAAACGTAAGCTGGTATAAATAGTTAATGGAAAAGACTATGAGCTTCGGAAGGGTCAATGCAATAAAGCAAGATCAGTTGTATTCAAGAAATGATCGATAAGTTAAAGTGGGTTGTCAATCTCTCAACTAGAGTCCTAAGCTCAGCAGAAGTAAAAGTGCTAGAGAAAGGCCTTAACTTCAATGTAGCGATTAATGGATTGAAACTGGAAGATGCATTCCTAAAATAGAATTAGAATTAAGTTCAATAAATCAGACAATTGTAGATGAGGTAAGAGCACAATGTGCACTAGCACTGAACGACAGAAGAAATAAATAAATAATTTATTCTCACATTAGTAATTTAACATGAGAGAAGCCAGTTTACAGGCATCATCACATTGATATATGTCGGAAAATCTGCTAGATTTTACGGGTCCTGAATAGTTAAGAGGGGAAGTCATTAAACTCCATCAAAAACATTAGACCACGGTTACGGGGCAAAGAAAATACCACTTTCAGCATATGCAGTGCATCAGAGTGAAGATAATTAGAACTCCCATTCCCATATAATGGATTTAGCATGACAGACACCAGTTCATAAGCACCGTCAATCTGATAATTCGTGAAAGTTTACAGAATAGTATTCGGTATTATATAATCCACATACTAAGTTATTGATATGCATAACCTTATTAAAACTTGCTGCAAATCATAAGGCGGGCATGGATTTTCATCTGCCATTACACAGATAGGTTCCACTGTCAGTAACAAAAGATCACAATGTTTGAAGTTTGCGTTACAACCAGCCGATATTATTGGTCCATCTGCATAGTTTCTTATTTGGTAATATAAACATCCATTCACTAGAAAGTTCTTCAGTTTTTAGCTCTGCTAACCACAAAGAACCAATTTATACTATCAGAAGTATCAGTAAGTATCCACAGTTATAAAACCAAGGTGAGTATCTAAATCAATGCATTGCCAGTTCATCATGTTATGTTTAAAGGTAATATACATTAATTCCACTGGGATTACTTGTAGTAGTAGGTGGAAATACGTGTTGAAACAGTTAATAGTTCAAATGGCAGCAGTTATACATAGGGTTCAGGCATCTTTCATATAAGCGTAAGCAGCAACATTCGAGAAGTGTATTTTATACATTGTAACTTTTACTTGAAAAGAAGAAAATGAAACCTAATTTACTCAAACTAAAAAGACAAATTCTTAGGAACATTCAAAATGATAACAATATAGTAACTGCCAAATCTGATAAAGGCAACTCAAAGGTTGTATTGAACAAATTTGTAGAGTAAATGAGCATATAGAAATAGGACAATATGAGTAAATTAAGAAACTAGTGGATACTGTTATGAATAATGTTAAGAAATTTACAGAGGATCTGATACACCAAATTAAGCCATTTCTAGGTGAGTCAAAATAGCTTAAATTTCAACCAAAAACTAACAATCCTAGTAGAATGTATGGTACTATCAAGATTCATAAGCCAGGTTATCCCATCAGGCCTATAGTAGATTTTAGAAACATTCCGACTTACAAGTTGTCTAAATATTTAGCAATGGTGTCAGGCCCAATAAGAAATCACACAAAATTTCGACTTACTAACTCTTATGACTTAAAGCAAAGATTAGGTGACATATGACTCTAGAAGAGTGAAAAAATGGTAAGTTTTGACATGCACGAATACATTGATCAAAATGGCTACAGAGGCGGTTAGAAATGGGCTTACGCATCAAACTAAGATGGCGATCGAGGAGTATGATTACTCCTGACATCTACAGTTTTTAAGTTAAAAAATAAACTGAAGGTGTTGCCATGGGATCACCAATATCCCGTATCTTCGCAGATGTATTTATGAGAATCAGGAATGGACGGCCCTTCAAACAACTAGTCCTACTCCATAGATATGGTTCCGATATGTAGATGACACATTCACAGTACTTAAATAGGAACAAATCAATAGGCTCTTGAAACATAACTTCAGTAGTGAACACTTACCTTTGACTTAGAAAGAGAGCCACCAATGTAGGACTGCAAGATTAAAAGAAAATAAGGTAGAAGTTTAGAGACTAGTGCCTATAGGAAACCTTCCCATTCGAATCGGTACTTAAACTTCAAACCATCTCATTTAAAGTAGGCCTAGTTAAATGTCTAAATAATAGGGCAAAAAAGCTTACAAGTAGGACAGAAAATCGAAGACGAGAAACTAGACACATCAAGAATACCTTGCGTTTCAGAAACTACCCACCTAAACTTATCAGTAAATCCATAAGAAGTAGAAAGATGAATATGAGTAGTAGTAGTAACACAGGTGTTATTATTCATGATTTTACTGATAATAGTAATAATGTTGACAGGGTTGGAAGAGATTTCAAAGCCTTTACCATACAAAGAAGGTATCTCAGAATTCTCAATAAAGTTGACTGGGATTAAGATTAAGATCAACAAACTCGTTTAGAAACAAGCTTAGGTAAAATAATTTGGTTGATCAAATCCCTTGCAATGATTGCGAGGTCAAATACATAGGTCGGAGTAGTCAACCAGGGTCAATTAGAATAACAGAACAAAAACTTAGCTACATCAGGATTAGTAGATCCTAATAAAAGATAAGGAATTTAGAGAAAAGCTCGGCTATAGCTGTGTACACGATTACACACTATAGGGTAGGATAGACCGACACTATTAAGGACTTTAATTGGGTGGAGGTAGAGATTGACAACCGAATCTTTGTTTATCGAATCAACAGCAAATACATGTAGTGGAAATGATTCTGCAAGTGTCCCAGATATATAGAGAATTCTAACATCCTTATCATCATCATTATCGACATAGGACCAGGCATTACTGCGTAACGGTCCGAGTTGCCACACATCATATCACCACATCAAGTAAAAAGGTAGTGAGGCGAAGGATGAAGATAAGAGAATGCAGTCAAAAGAAATACAAAGTACGAGAAGAAAGGAAAGAGGAGTGACAAAATAGTGAGATTCGGTATAGCGTTGTTAAGATGAGGATAATGTTTGTATACATCTGCGCCACTGACTTCGGTTCTGAGCCATATCACCTAGGGTCTCCAACCACTGGTTCCTCTTGTCCCGTGGACCCCAACCACCTAGTCTACATCGTCCCACATGGCTTAAACCAACAGTCAGAGACTTCATACATTGGTGCCATGTTTTAGTCTGGCCACCTCAGGCCTTTTTCCAGCCTGGACCCACCTCAGCCAACATTGTGTGACGAGGCAATCGGTGACTAGGCATACGTAGTACGTGTCCCAACCATCTCAGTCGATGAAGGTTCACAACCTCGTCAACTGACTTACCTCTTCTCCCCAAAACTCTACACCTGACTTCTGCATTACTCACATGGCGACACCACGGAATACGTCCTATATTACGAAGGCAACGGTGGTCAAACACCTGAAGCCTTTTTGTATCCTCCACTTTCAATGGCCATGTTTCACAGCCATACAGTAGAACAGAGCAGACTGCTGTGCAGTACACGCGACCCTTAATAGACAAACGAATATCACGGCGGCGCCATAGGTGGCGCAAATTGGCAAAAGCCAATCGAGCCTTTTTTATCCGTGCAGAAATCTCATCGGCAACTAACCCACCGGGGTTGATCCTACTTCCCAGGTAAGTGAAGTGGTCAACACACTCAACCACTTCACTCTCTATTGTTAGCCGCGGTGGGGTACCGCTGAAGACCAGTCCTGGAGCAAAAATTTGCATTTGGGTGGTGAAAATCGCATCCCAAACATTCTCAAATTCCCACTGTGTTCAGAAGACTCTGCATCTTGTCGGCGTCTTCACCTAACAGGACTATGTCATCTGCATAACACCCTTATCACAAAGGAGAGAAAATTAGAAGTATATAAACTGTCTCAAAGTTGTGGAGTTACATGGTATGAATATGGACAATAAATTATGTCCGAAACGTTATCAAGTAAGTGATAGTTCTACTGTGACATTTCTAACAGACTAAAATGGAGCATATTCTCATTAATTCATGTGAACGACAGAACCCATGAATTCAGCCGAGAAAGTCTTGGAGAGACAAAAGGAAGAATACTAAGCGTAGCTTGACATTTGGTAGTAAATGCGTATATTCACTTGGACCCAGTGAAAATCAGGATAGGCTGTCGGAAAATACACGAAGACAGTAACAACAACAATATATTGAACACAGATTGAGTTCAATTAGTTTCTTAACTGCCCAAATGCGACTCAATACATTAAACAACCAGTAGCACGCTATGTCATCAAAATACGCTAACAAGCGACTGGAGGAGAAATTCTTATAGTTTACTTCTTTTCTGAACTCAGTGATGACATTGTCCAGAATTGTCAATAAAGCTTTCACCGTGCAACCATTTGTGTGAGAGAATGCAATATTATCAAAGCTGACTAGAATGTTCTTACTGCTACTGTAGTAGGAACGTCAAAAGAAACAAGATTACCCATGGGTTACACTAACCACTTAAACACTTTCCGCAAAGATACTGGCAGCATTATCTTTCTCGACATCACTAATTTGTACTATTTCCCCAACCATTTAGGTTGGATAGAATGCATGATTTCTGCAAAAAATATATCTGCCTTCGTTTTGCACACAGGTTACTTGGTGGTGTTACCTAAAAAGACTTTATCAAAGTATATGAACAGCGCTCCCACTGATGTTTGTCGAAAGAAAGCACTATTACCTCTCTCGTACATATGCAGGAAGTTTCAAATAAACATCCCAAAAAACTACATACCCAACTACAATTTATTCACAAGTTATTTTTTGTAGAAACAAGACAAAATTTTGTCGTTCAACTACTACTCAACAAAACAATTGCGTTTGAGCTTGCATACGAAGAATGTGTGTAAGTATTCCTTATGAAAGAAAAATAATGGAAAGCAAAACTATTAAAAAAAGGGAGAAAACTAATTCAGTATTGAAGAAAAGAAATTAAACTTAAAGTAATCTGCCTTTTGTATCCGAATGACGTGTCGTAATACAGCAAAAAGTGATTTCGTTCTGTTCAGTTTACAAAAGTCCTCCTTAAAAATGTTCTCATCAAAACTTAAGGAATACATAAAAAAGTTGAAGAATAGAAATAGTGTAAACAAACACCAGTCACCTGGCTTATCTGTAGGTGTACTGAGTCTGAAGATAAAGAGAACATCAAAATATATTGTGAAAGAGAAATAAGATTAACAAAATAAGGTTGATATTGGATGATGAAACCTGGTGACTTCTGTGCCCATTTTTCATACAAACAGTTAGTAAAGAGACGTTGTTAACAAATAATGATGAAAAAGATAGCAATTTCTTCAGATAGTGAGTGATAGATCCAATAACTATGTACACAAAGTGGATGAATGTATATATATATGAAAGGTTGCGGGAAAACGTTTCAACTACATGATGAAAGTTGGAAAAAAGCGACAACGCGGGGAATGACAACCAGGGTTAAGGCGCTTCAAAATACACTTTAATGGAAGTTAGGAAAGGGCAAAAAATTATACACAGCACAGGGGGGATGACAAACAAAGGGATAGTAAAATCAAATACAGTTTGTATTATATCAGTGTATCTACGTATTTCCCATTGAAAAGTGCTTAAGAAACAGTTTAATTCACTGCAAATGAATGATGACAAGCATAATACGAATACAAACAGTGAGAACCAAAATAAAGAAAGGTGAACAAGAAGTACAGAAAGTGATGTTATTAAACGATAATATTTAATATCAGTTTATTAAATAGATGGAGAAACTTGAGAAATGGTAACATTGATTCCTAAATTCCCATTCTCTGCAAATGAATGAGCTGTGTTGGAGTCAAACACTAAACAATCGGATACAGCTATCGCCGACTGAACACCATCGTGAATACTGCGTGGACAAGCCTCCCAAGTTAACCGCCGACGATGTCCATTCAATTCAAGTCTATAGACATAAATGAAAAACAAAAGAAAGATTTTACTTACTGGAAACTAACTAAGTAAATCCAGGTAGAATCTGTTAAGATATTCTTTCTAGCTCAGTTTCTTACGTTGTAACTTGTATTATCCCGTCGTTCAGTGGACCGCATTGATCGACCTTTATTGGGATATGGGCTCCTGTGAAGATGCCTTCATACTGACTGTTTTTCAATCTTATATTAATGATGAATAGTAACGAGTAACAACATAAAAGCTATACTCGTCACAAAAGAAGTGGCTATCATGACTCGGTGGCTTAGTGGATAAGGCTCTGCAGTTTGAAATCATTGGTCTCGAGTTCGAGTCTCATTGAGAACAACATTCACTGGGAGATGAGTTCGTCCAGCTAACAAGTCCTAAATAGGATGAAACAAGCGTTCTGAATTCTACTGTCAGTCACTATCGATCGTCAATACAATTTCATATGGCCTAAAATAGAATGATCGAGACAGAAACTAATAGCAAAATTACCAATAATAAAGAGGGACTTTTATCCAGTGAGATGGTATACAGGAGAGCAATTGATTTTTGGGTAGTTTTTATGCATGGATTTATATCTCAGGCTATAGGACAGCAATCTTTTAGATTTAAGACTGATCAGCAGTGTCATGATGGATCGAGCCTAAGTCTATAAGTATTTTCTACGAATATGTCATCGACTACCAATGGCATTGGAGTTAAGTATCCAGTTTATTATGCACAATGAATGACATTACCAACTGAAGTGACTTACGTGGTCATTCATTATTCAAAGTAGGTGTGCGCAAACGATAACGATAGCATACTTAGCCAGAATAGCCAACTTTATATTGAAAATCACTCAATATCTTTTTACAGTATACAAAAGTCCTTCACATGAAATACAGACTCAATATCTGTATTATATATGATGCGCAAAACAGACTGATTGCATTTTTCATGAGTTTATTTCTAAACACTAAAATATAATCAGTCAGTCAGTGTTTCTGATCAAAAAAGAACTGCTACTGTTAAGCTGGTAGTGTTATACCAAAATGATTATAATGATAAATACTTGTTCGGTATTGCGTTCGCAGTCAGACACCTACACAACACTTTGCACCTGACGAAATGGATGCCACCTTAAGGTCAAAAAATACTCAGATTAGCAAGCTGCAGTAAGTATGCATGTGTTCCTGTCACAGGGTTACAGTTCTAATCGATTCTCCCTCGTCTAAATTTGAAACCTGTCTGAAAAGCCTGGAACTTGATGAAACAATGCTCAAGTTTATTATCAACTGGAATGAGACTAACAGAAAAGATATTCATGGCTTCAAATGTCAACAACCCTAAAAAATATTAGACTATTAGGCAATGATACATGAATTATGTTTATCCACTTAGGAAACTGACTAGACTGGAAAAATAAACTGGTATGACAATGATTCTTTTCCTCTGTTTTGTTTGGCTTTACATTCTCATCAATCTTCCTTATTATTACTATCAGTTCTTGATAGTGATTTACTCATAAAGAAACTGATAACAAAAAAATTGTTACTGTTAATATATGTATATATATCCGAAAACTCTAGTCACTGAAAATTTAATATTCAAAAATGTGCGATGGGATTTATTCTTATATTACCTGTAGACAAATTGTTCCGCTTGTTTACGAGTTCCAATTAACTGTACAAGTGCAAAAAATATTTGATCTGGTACACGCTCTTGTTTCTCGAGTACTAGCATAAAGCTATGTCCAAAACAAGATTGCATCATGACCCAATCGACAGCACCAGGTAGACTGATATCAGTAGCAAGGAATACAATATCTTCGCCTGAAATATAATTAAAAACATGTGATATTATAATGATGATACTTTGACGGTATAATACATGAAATTTATATCATAGCTGGAAAAAAATACTAAAAGTAATTCGAAAAACACAGATAATGAAGTGTAAAATTGACAAGGGAAAGCTAATGTTGAGATTCATCAAAAATTACGACTGTCCACAAAGACAGTCAAGGTTTTCAATGAATACTACATATATGATTGATAATTGTCACTGACAAGGAAACCAATAAAGTTAGTTGGATGGAGGTAATCGGCAGAAAGTCTTGGACTTAAATTTCATGCTTTTTGGAGCTCGTCAGCAAGAGGCATCTGTGCAACTGTGATGGTAAGACTCCTAGCTTGGTGACCATATTGCAAAATGATCGACAGAATTCGGTCAGCACTCAAAAATAGACAACATGAAGTTGTTTACCCTTCAACGTAAACCGACAAAGTCCTGTATTTGGCATTAAATGCAAAATTATCTTTTATAACTAATAAGAAAATAGCGAATAGGAGATGAAATATTGAGAGAAATGTTGTAATGATAAAATTACAACAGGTTATCATGGTTATCTCAATAAAAGACTATCATATCGAGATATAAGATGGAATGAATCGCATAGATAAATTAGCATTGATGTAAGCGTAAAACTTGGGCACTGCAGTAGAATTTAATTCCATATTAGATATGTTCATCTGATTTATGGCACACAGTGAGTGAAACAGTATTACTTACTTGATGACGTTTCGAGCACAAATTATCACTGCTTATAATCATATCAATGATTTGCTTTTTATAGTTCTGTCACCTCTTATTCTCTGTTTCTATTGGTAGTAAAATTTTCCATATCTCTGGTATAGGTATTGCCTCATTTCTATTAAATGTGTCGGTTGGGTGTTGATTCGATGAACAAAGATTCCGTAATCAATCTCCCTTTCTCTACCTAATTATATTGGAACTAAGTAGAGTGGTTAAAGCAGGTTTAGTCAAATGTCTAAGTGATAGACCTAGAAAATTCAGTAGTCAGGGAGAGAATCTAAACAAGGAATTGAAGCACATAAAAGCGCTGATACCTAATAATTATCCTCTACAGTTTATTAAGAAATTCGTATGTACACACAAGAAACGAAATAATAACAATAAGACGAATACGAACAATAACGACAACAAGAGTAGAAAGGAGTTCACAGCCTCCATTATGTTATCCTATAAAGGAGGAACATCAGAAACTTTACGTAGGATCGTCAACAAAGCTGGAATTAGGGTGGCATTTAAACCTACAAACTCACTCAGAGATAAGATTTGTCGTCTTAAAGAACCAATTAAGCAAAGTAATCCAATCTATTAAATCTCGTGTAATGACTGCAAGGTCATGTATATAGGTCAAACTAGCCGGTCGGAGTCGGTTAGGTCATCGGAACATAGGAATTTAACCTAATATAGAATAACAGACCCAAATAAGATTAATAATCTAGAAAAACACTTGGCTATTGCATTGCATGCATTAACATACAACCACACAATAGAGTGGGATGAAACCACTGTACTTAAATCCAATATAATTAGGTGGATAGAGAGAGATTGGTTACTGAATCTTTGTTCATCGAATCTACACTCAACGCATGTAAAAGGAATGACGCCGCAACTATACCAGGGATAGGGAAAATTTCACTACCAATAGAAACGAAGAATAAGAGGTGACAGGACTATAAAAGGAAAATGGCGAAAGTAGTGTGATTACGTTGATATGATTATGAGCAGTGATAATTTATGATCGAAAAGTCATCAAGTAGATAATACTGTATCTCTGTGTGTTATAGATCAAAGATGTTACAAATGTAAGATGGAATAAAATCAGAACTTTAAGTACCTCATCGTTATGAAGATTATCTAAATCATTAACAAAAATGAGACTATTTCTCCAAGGTTGCACTCTATATAGGACATAACCATAACAGAAATTCAGTTAATTGATAATAACTATTGTTCAATGTAACACTGATCGAGTCACGATTAGAGTACGAAAAAGAAAACTACCAACTCAGAAAATTACTTTGTCATACTCACCTTGTAAGGTTGTGATACTTTTATGATGGTGCATAAGATGCGGCATAACCTGCTCCAATTCACCAAGCCATTTACATGAAGCACCAGGGCAAGGACAATCGTAAGGTCTACAACACGAATATCACATAGACAATATGTATCGGTTACCAAAATATACATGCACATGATAAAAAAAATAATGAAATTTATGTTCACATTGTGACAAAATGATACCACCACATAGTTAACCCTGTCTAATTCTCACCTATTAGCTAGTCAGTCACTTAGCAAATGCTGAAAGAAAAATAACATAACTATGCAAAGAAACGAGACAAAAAGAATGAACGTTTCTAGGCATAGAAATACAAAGCACATATTAATCACTTCAATTTGGAGGCTTATAAAGATGTTATCAATTTTAAGTTGGTATTCATCACGGACCGACCTCAGTTAGAGAACCGTTGAAGACCTGGGAGAAAAACAACTGTCAATTAAAACACAGGAAGAATAAATGATAAACACCAGTTTGATGGGACAATTTTGATGCAGTGACAATAACAGATCTAACTAATATATCTGAGTAACCGTCCCTATGGGCATCGATATGAAAACCATGAAGACATATCACAAGGCATTTCAACTTCAAACATAGCTGATGTAATTGTTTTATTCAAGCTGTGACTGAATGATAGATAATTCAAGGTTAATTAACTTTTGTAAAAATAGTTTTAATCTTAAGGTATAAACAGTTTTCAATTAATGCCTACTACCAATGTTTACTTCAACTACAGGCTCTCGCAGAAATTAAAAAAAATTGTCCGTTAGTTTGTTTTTTAGTTACTTTTGCTTCTCACCATGCACCGAATCAGCTTGAATAAGCATTTGTGCGTCGATTAGCTCAATCTACGGGTTTTATCGTGTTTCGGAAACACGTTGTTGGGTAACTGGGCTATTTTTTTCCGGAGACATCACGTGAAAAAAAAGTTACATCGTGAGATGCATAGTCTAATAACTGACAACTCGGTTCCGCTAAAAATGCACTTTTGATGACTTTCATCCTTAAACTATGCACAAAGAACAGTTGTTTCGGACATAGGTTTAGTGTTTGTAACTGGAGCGATTGCCAAACACAAAACAGTTACGTGTTTTATAAAGCGAAGGGTTTCTGGGAAAAATATTGACGATAATATTACCAAAAGACAGAGATACACCAGTAAAAATTACCTGTATTCACAGACTGCTTCATGATCTGATTTGGATGTATAATGAAATGTTTCCGGACAACCACTAGTAGAGTACTTACAAGGAAACAATACACTGGAAGCAAGTTTTTCCATCGCCAGATTTCTGATATTATCTTTTAAATAAAATTGAAACAGTATAATGAATAAAGCCACTGATAAGCCATATGAAATAACTCGAAAAATGCTAGAGAAATCACTTAGTGATGCAAACTCCCGACATGTGTTATGAAAAGTAAATCAGATGACAAAATAATGCTAGTGGTAACATAAGCAGTGAGAGGACTATGAAAATAAGGAGGGATAAAAAGCATTCAGTAGACAGAAAGTGTCTTCGGCTCTCGCTAAATGTAGTATGATGCTCTAAAACTGGCTTGCTTTGACAACCACGAATTTATCGAGAGAAACTGAAGTAGTAGCGCACAGGCTGCCAGACATTTCACCCCAATAACCTGGTTGTTGAAGGCTAACCTGGTATGTACTATCTAAAATTACTACTTCAGCAATTATTTTGTTGTGATTCTTGGGATTCACACATCTCAATTACCCAATCAAGTTACACTACAATGCTTATTCCTCGAAAACTGTGGGAACGAAAACGTTTTACTAGTATCTGTTAGAATGTAGCGAAAGTAGGGTGTTTTTTAAATGATTACCAGCATCATTAGTAACGTTATCTAATACTCTCAAAAAAGGGTTAAAACAGGTCGGCCCTGAAAATAGCAAATGTGGTTGAGAAAGTTTCAGTAACAGCGACATGCCTTTTTTAGTGTAGGACTGACTGACTGACGAAATCAACGTGGAACGTTACACACGTGCATCGGTCCAAGTTGTGACACTTCACAGTAGTACACAAAGAACAGGTGGATAGACAGAGTGATATCAAAGTATACAAAGTGAGGTGACAAAACAAACAATTTGAGGATAACGATGAGTGAAAATATTCAAGCTCTAGATGTCAAGGAGTGAATACATCGACGCCATTGTGACCGATTTCCAGCCACGTCAGCAAGAGTGCCCAACCATTGATTACTTTCGTCTCCCGGGCCCCAACCAAGCACTTCACATTTCCCGACACGGTTCAGACCAACAGCAAGAGACTTCATCAACTGCTGCCACATCTTGATTTGTTCACCCTGAACCTTTCTCCGACCTCATCCACCTTCCTCTGACATGACACATAGAAGTAGTCCGTTGCTCAGCATGCGCAGTACATGTGTTCAAGCCATCTCAGTCAACAAAAGGTTCACAATCTCATCAATCGACTTACCTGTTTTTCGCAGTACCCTTCGCTTGACCTTAACATTGTTCACGCGGTGATCCCGTCAAACGCGAGCAATGCTCCGAAGACACCTATGGTCGACACCCTGTAACCGCTTTATATCTTCTACCATTATTGGTCAGGTCTCAGCTGTATAACAAGACAGAACCGACCGCAGTGCTGCATACTCGTTTTGTAGTACATAATAGGATGTCTCATCAGTTAGCGCCAGAGATGATGGGATTCGCAAATGCTAAACAGGTCTTCTGCATTCCAGCTGAAAGTTCATTAGTTACCGGCCCGTTCGGACTTATGCAACCTGCCAAGTAAGTGAAGTGGTCGACACTATTACTTCATACCCCATCTTTAAACTGGTAGTTACAGACCAGTCTCAAAGCATCATCTTACATTTGACAAATGTGAGATACATGTCAAGCACACTCACATTTCCACCCAACGTGTTCAGAAGACTCTAAATTTCGCCAGCGTCTTCACCTATCAGGACAATGTAGTCTGTATAGTCGACATCAGCTAGGGAGTAGATCAACCCTTGTGAAGCCAGATGTACCGATGTCCATTAGCACATCTATGACAAAGTTATATAGAAACTGTGATAGCGAACATCCCTGGCAGACACTACTAGTTGTCGTCGATTAAGATGACAGCTCGTCACAAGCCCTTACACCGTTGCGTGAGTTCTAGTAGAGAGCTGTGATTAGCGCTATATACTTTCTGTCAGATCCTGCTTCTTATCATCATTTCAGATTCGATACAGCTACCTCCACTTCAAGGAGAGTCGGTGGACAGACACCTTCGTGCCACTAAGGTTCAGGCTGGATGTTGGGCCACTGAAACACCGTGGAGAGCCGGTTGAACTGTGCTTGAAAGTGTTCCGCCGAACGTTCTAGCCGCCTGTCTTGGTGGGTTATCAGGGTGCCATCCTTTTCGGTGATATTTTCACTAACCATAGTAGCACAAATGTAGAATTTGAGGACTGCAGTAGAGTATAATGATTATTAGCAATATATTCTACTTGAAACTTCATCCACTAAATAATGGATCTTTGTGCTATATAAAATAAACAACTTAGTGTGTGCCCATAACCTGATCATATTTTATTCAAATATCTCCAAAAAAATACTGTGACAGACAATAAACAGTCATCCATTGAACTATAGTTAGCTTCCTAGATTGACAAGATTGGCAATACTTTCTTCCACAGGTGCACGAAAAAGTAACTTTTTGATGTGCGCAGCTGAGAAACATGAACCACCTATGGATATCTGCAAGCACTCGAGCTGTTGGATCAACTACTAATTCACTCCTGCCACTTCCTCCTAGATTTTCCTTTGTTTATCCACAACTAAAAGATGCTACGAAAAGTGAATCTAGGAGAGTGTATGGAGATTAATAGACATCAGGACAAAGATAAAAACCATGTAAGACCTCCAATGTGGATATTGTTTTAAGTACCCATATTTCATATCAATTTCATATTGATTAGCTTTTCGCGAGTAGTATCAACGAGAGTTATATGCATGCTTTAAAGTCGACCAAATAGTCTTCTAAAACATTAGTTCCTGTGCAGTCAGATGACAATGGGGAGGGCTTTGAGCACAACTACACCAAAGCTATGCAAAAATATAGCAGGATATCCTTGAAGCAAAATATTATGGGTCTAAAAGTACGTGCCCCTCACAGAGTGGCAAACAGATCTGCACATAATTGCCGAAATGTAGCTATTATTCTGCTATCCACTCTGATGCTCACGCACTAACTAGCACTTCAGTGGACTCCACCAATTATCGTTTACCACAGCATATGAAAGCTCATGGCACAACTTCATTATAATTTGCTTTTTTGTCACATTTCAACCTTTCTAAATTTGCTCCAACTTCTTCAAAAGTTATCAACATCATCAAGACATTACTAAATAACGGTCGAAGTTGTCCCACCTTATATCCGTAGGTCAAGCGATAAAGTCACAAGAAGAGAACGAAACAGAATAATGGGCCAAAAGTAATAAAATAGATGAAAGAAGAATGAGAAAATACTGGATTCAGTAGGACAACCAAGATGAAGATAATATGCGGATACATCTGCCCCAGTGAAATAGATCCTGTGCCATATAACTAATATTCGAAAACCAATAGTTACTGTTGTCATGCAAGCCTCAAACAATAAGTTTATATCTCTCTATGTGGCTCAGCCTAACGGTTAAGGATTATATGCAATGATGCCATGTTGTAATCTGGCTACCCCTATCCCTTTTCTCATTAAAACCTACTTCGTGCGACTGTGACTAGGCATGCGTAACATATGTCCCAGCCACCACCATTGATGAAGATTTACAACCTCATCAACTGACTTTCCACTTGTCTAAAACTTCGCCCATCTGGATTACTGGCGTGGTGACACCAAGCCCAACCGTTAACTGCTACCTTGATGTGATGGTCGGGCTTGCAGATCAAACTGACCCAACGAGCGTGTTTTATGAAGGGACAATTATGCCAGGAAGACTTAGTGGACAGTGGTAAGACGAAAAGAAGTTACCGTTGTAGTGTAAATTACTACACTATGATATGGATCTGAGGACGAAGTCGTGCTGCTGCTAGCTGCATGATATGTGACAACAGTAGGATGTTTCAGTTGGATGACTAGCAGTGCCACGCTGATGCTTCCTTCCCGATAGGAAGAGGAGTTAGAAAAGGTCGGGGCTCGAAATAGTAAACTCCTCCCTGTCTTACGGTCCCAGGGGGAATGGATTTCCTTTGTCCGGCGTTCGAACAACCAAGCCTCAGAATGCTGTATGTGACAGGCCTAAAGATATCCCATGGGCTCTGTGGTCACACAATTTTTTTCTCTTCCAGGCACCTTAGGAAGAAATAGCTTTCAACAGTGTGGGCAGCCGGTAAGTGCCCACTATCCGCGCTCTTCCAGTAGTACACAAAACAAAGTCAAACAAAACTTATGCTTCTCAACTCCGTCTTCTTTTTTGTCTTCACCTCCTGATACTGATATCAAGCATTCTACGCTTTACCCAACCTCTCACTCTGCCACCATTGCGAACGACCAGCCATCAAACCTCATTCCTAGTCTCCTAAGACCCTGCCATCGGCTTCATGTAGGAGCTATCAATGTCCAATCTCTAGGCCAAATCGGATAGCAAGGATCGCCCCCCAGAACTTTAAAATCTCTAGCCAAGGACGGATACTGTGTCTCTGAAACACATACAAGACCCGAGTGCAGTTATTTAAATTGACCTCACCTGACCAGAGTAGTCAATCGTTAAAATTCACCATGAGAGTATCCGGAGACTCAATAGCTAGCTTTAAAGCACTCGCTGGAGTAGAAATAGTACTAAGCTATAGGGCAGAAAGTGGGCTTCCCTACTAGATACCAGTCAACAGTAGTTTGTGTGCTGTACGAATGAATGGATCTTTAAACACTAGGAGGGATTGTGAAACTATGCGATGCCTATTCCTTACTTCTACTTACGCGCACACTGACTGAAGTTCGGACGATACTAAGGATGAATTCTATGAGAAGCTGCCAATTGAGCTATGGAAAGCAAAACGTTCAGATATAGGCGCAATAGGAGGTGACTTTAGCGCTCAGGCAGTAAAGCTGAGTCAACCATAAGGGCATCTCAGCGGTGTTTACGGTATCCCATGCCAGTGAACCGACAACGGTGATCATCTGTTGTAATTTTGTTCCAACGACCACCTGTTTTTGGCCAGTACTAACTTTAGGCATGAGAGACACTGTCTCACATGGTGTCTGCCGATATTAAACCAATAATGGATGCAGATAGACTATACTGCTATAAGTTATCGTTAGAGAAGATTAGTGGAG